TTGTAGAAACTGGATCCCACCAAGTTGCCCAGGTTGGTCTTGAAACCCTGAGTTCAGGCAGTTCTCTTTTCTCAGCTTCCCAAAGTCCAGGGATTACAGGCTTGAGCCACTGTGCCTGGCTTGTATCATAGTTTAATTAGCAAAGTTTATTTCTTGCAGGAATTTTTAATGAGGGTGAATCTTATATTTTGTGAACTATGAAATGGTCATGAACATAAAGAGGGTGCATGCTGAAAGATGTTTTAGGGATAGTATTTCTGTGACTTGGAAGTGGGGAAATGGTGTCCTCATCTATATAACTAAGATAAACATGGCTATGTGAAGGCCTGATTTGAAAATAAAATAGAATCAATTCTTGTGAAATTCCTGCCTTTGAAAATAAATGTTGTTGATGAAATTGAGGATAATGAGATTAGGTGGATTTTTCTCAAATCACAGATAATGACATAGGAAAAAAAAATCTGCCATAGAACCTGTATTGCTGTTATATTTCTGCCTGTTTATTGTGTATGTTCTCCCATAAAAAAACATTCCTTAATGACCAAAACATTCAAAATAAACAGATAACTAAGCTGATTTTCAAGCTTAATGTTAATGCTACTAACATTGGATGCATATAGTGCATTTTGTTCTTGGCTAAAAATATCCTGAACCAGTTCTAATTCCTACATTTTCAAAGATGGCTCTGCATATATCATCAACATAGTTCAAAAATAGTTTGGTAGATTACAACACTTTGGAAATAGGTTATTTTATCCCTAAAATTTATTTTCAATGTTCTTAAAAAGGCTACTTGTTGAAATGTGTAATTGATTTTAAAATTTACAGCATTACTTTTTGCTGTTTATTGACTTATTGAAAATATATTTTTAAAGTCTGGAATGAATAATTGTTCACACAGTTGCAATGATTCACTGGAGTATTACTATTGAATAGAATGGACTCCGAAAAATATTTATAAGAAATTTGTCCCCATTTAAAGTGATGTTGAAGCTTCTTTTAGTTTAAAACTGCCTTCCTCCACTGAGAAATACTATATCCAGCTAGAAGTATGATGCAGTTATTTCTGAGTATTAATATGTCTGTGGCTAACAGAAGAGCATTGTATAGCATAGCACCAATGAGTCTGTCAGATACAATTTTGTCTTTTGGATGCTAAATTACAGTTTCAAACAATATAATCATAATCCTTATTAAACAAGTTGAGGTGGAAACTAAGATATTATTCAGGGTCTGGCTGAAAAATCAGTGTTAAGAATGCAATTGAATTATAAATATGTATATGGTAATACATTATTACATAACTAAAGAAGAAAAGACTTCTCAATAAATGATGGTGTGTACATTGCTATAGAGTTTGGGAATGAGTGTCACACAATTATTTTTTAAGCATTTGTTTAGTCAACAAACATACAAAACAAACATAACACTTCAAATTTTGTTAAAAATTATATACATTTGAGATAAAATATAAAATCAGGTAGGATTTAATTTACTGCACTTATTTTTTGTTACCAAAAATTTGATCAAAATGTAAACTACTTTAAAAGTTTACCTACTGCTTAAAATAAAATGATCAAATTTTGATATTTTTGAAGATTTTATTTTTAGTTGTTAATGCTTTTAAAATTTGAAATGTCTTATAGATAATTATTAAAGATTATAATGCTCAGTGGAAATCTCAAAAAGTGCCTGAACAGAACCCTCACAAAAAATAATTTCAAATATTATTGAGAATTAGATGCTTACATTTAAAAATCCCTGTTTTATTTCCTTGTATCTAATTTTCAGGTTGAAACAGAAATAAATCTACCATTTTATATGTCAGCATTTGAAATCTTTTTTGAGCCGGGCTTGATGGCTCAGCCTGTAACCCCAGCACTTTGGGAGGCTGAGGTGAGTGGATTGCCTGAGCCCGCAGGTTCGAGACCTGCCTAGGCAACTTGGCGAGACCTCATCTCTACAATAAATCAAAAAAAATTAGCCAGGCGTGGTAGCACACACCTGTAGTTCCAGCTACTTGGAAGGCTGAGGTGGAAGGATCGCCGGAGCCCAGCAGGTCGAGGCTGCAGTGGCCGGGAGTGGCCACTGCACTCCAGTCTGGGTGACAGAGTGAGACTCCAACTCAAAAAAAAAAAGAAAGAAAAAGAAAAAAGAAATCCTTTTTGAAATTGTATTATATCCAAAGTATATTACTATAGAGAACATTTTAAACAATTTTCTGGGTTATTTATTCACTTTAAATATGTACTTTCATTGGACAAAGACATGAAATAAGAAGTCACTTAAATGCTAGTTCTACAAATTTATAGTTCAGTCATTTATGTCTCCTTATCACCCCCCTCCCTAATTGTCAACCATACTTTTTATTCCATCAGATCACCAGCTCACCAACTGCTAAGATAACAAATGAATGGTAATCAAAATTTCTCTGGAACCATACCTGCCCAGTAGAGTCTGATCTTAGTTTCTATGACTGAAAGCAGCCAAGAAAAATATAAGGTTTCGTACTTTGCAAAAGTTGTGAGAAAAGATTTGCCATTATGAAATTTTCTTTCTTAGACCTTAACAAGTGTTCACTATATGTTATTGCATTTGGTTTGCAAATGTTACTGAAAACCAATGGCATCTATAATATAATGGGATGAAGATTGAGAACCTTCATGTTTACTTAAGTGTTCAGAGGCACACATATTTGCACACTCTTAGTGAGATGACAAGTATAATAAGCTCTTTCTTGCATCCCTTGCATCATCAACTAAAAGTCCCTCAGAACCTGCATTGGTTGGATCTGGTCTTATCTGTCTACCTTCCTGTTTTGGGGGTTGTGCTCCTAGTGCTGGAGCCTGCAGGCTACATTCCTCAGGTTCCCTTTCTAGCTGGGTCCCTGCTGGATTCTGCCATTAGGAGAAAAGTGGTGAGTGGAAGAGGGAAAGAAGGACATGGGATTGAAATGAAGAGGAGACAAAAAGTAAAGTCTTAATTTTTCACCTTCTGCTAATGTGAATACACTCATAATAAACACTTGGTGACTTTTCCCAGTTTCTCATTATACTCTTTTTAGAGGCAGGAGCACAGTCTGGCATGGCCCTCTTTGGTGTCCAAAGACTCCATTGGAGTGTGTATCCAGAGGTCAGGAAACTGCTGAGTCGTAAACTCTTCTCAGAAACCTGTACATGCTGGAAACTATGTCTCTTCTCTAAGGCTTATCACCAGTTGACTGAACTGCTTCCTCTAAGCTCTGAGATTAAAGTGATAATATCTCTCCTGTTTTCCTCCATGTCAAGGACAAGGGCTGCTAATAATACATATTATCTACTTTGTGCTCTTTCAAGTCTCTAACACTCCTTATATTAAATACTCATGGGCATGTGTTTGCTTTCCTAAGTAGACTGTGACTAATACAACACTTATAACAATATGAACCAATTCACAATTCTAAAATGCTCTGGAATTGATATAAATTTATATAATAATCTCAATATGCATACCATTAATTTACCAATATTTACTCATGTATTTGTCTAAAATAAACAAAAATTTTTTTTAAAAAAAACTTATATGTCACTGATACTCAAATAAATAACCCCAGGCTTCAATGACTTCATTTAAATAAACTACTGAGCATTCTCTCCATGTCAGTGAGTACAAAAACATTGTAAAAATTTAGTCTCAGTGAAATGTTGTGAGGTTAACAGTTATCATCCAATGTTAAAATAGAGGAGACAGAGAATTAGACCAGGTAAATTGTTTGCCAAAGTAAAAATTCAATGTCAAAACACTAGTTCTGGTTTTCAAAAACACAAGCCTATTGCTTTTTTAACATTAATATAGATACAAAGACAAGTTTCATTTTGAAAAATGAATGCAATGTGGATATTGACAAAAATCATAATGAAGAGACAGTGTCAGTGGTGCATATAAATTAGAACTGAATAAAGAGATGCAGTTTAGGTATATAAAGAAAGAGTGGAATAAAAGACATTTTTACAAAATCAAAGACACACACAAAATACCTGAATAGAGGTTAGCAGCCCACTTCAATGTGTCAGTAAGCATCTCATCCACAACGATTTTTAAGGTTAGTATGATGATAATATGTAAAGATGAAATGAGATAAGAGGCTCAATTTAGAAATGCTGCTATTGACAATAACATTTTAAAACAAATATATGTATTCATATACACATATATGAAAGCAAGAGATAATTATGCTATTAAGCTCTTGAGTTATTCTAAGCTCCTTCCACATGATTCCATTTTCTTAATTCAATTTTCCTAAGATTCTTGTGAAATAAACATTATTTTGTCTGTATCAGATGACAAAGTAACCAAAATTTCAATAGTACAGGACAATGCAACAATAAAATAGCAATGGAAAAACAAAATGAACAATAAACATTTAAAAGTAGAAACATTGAGATATATATAAACACAAAAACATGCACATATATGAAGTTCTCATTTTGTATTCACTGGTTGACAATAGTGTGATCTTCATTATAAAATAGCATAAATGTTATTTTGAAAGTAATTATAGTTTCCATAATGAAAAACAAAATGGATACTAAATAAAATGTCACTCTTATGAGTTTTTTTATTAGACCTATGAAGATTTTACAGCAAATTAAATGTGTGTCTTATTGACACTGTTACTTATATCCATTTATGTATGTATGTGTGTTTGTATTTAGGAAGGAGGATTTATTGAGAGGACAGAAAAACTCCCACAGTGGGAGATGACCCGAGGGGGTTGCCCACTCTTATCCATTTAAGACATTACAGATTTATGAAAGACAAAAGTAAGTTGGGTACAAAATTTGAGACAGGTTCAATTCTACTCTTTTAAATTTGGGAGGCACAAAGGTGAATGTATCAAACAAGACTAACTCGTAACTGCTAAGCTGCTTATTTTTTTCTCTGTTCCAATATGCACCCCTCCTGCTAACCCTCCATCTGCTACCACTTTGGAATCTTGAAGTCAGTTAATACAATCTTTTTTAATAATATATTTTGGAGCCCACTGCTTTTCTGAGAGCTTCTTTGAAGTCCTTGTTCCTGAGGCTATAGATCAAGGGGTTCAGCATGGGAATCACTACAGTGTAGAACACTGTAGCCACTTTCTCAACATCCTCACTGTTGTCTGAACTGGTATTACAATAAATGGAAAGGATTGTTCCATGGAAAACAATGATGGCTGTGAGGTGGGAGGCACAGGTAGAAAAGGCTTTGTGCCTTCCATCTGATGAATGCATCCTCAGGATGGTGATGAGAATAAACAAGTAGGAGGTTAGGATGATCATGAGGGTAATAGACTCATTGAAAGTAGCCACAGTGAAGAGCAGAACCTCATTTACAGTGACATCTGAGCATGCAATACTTAAGATAGGGGGTAGATCACAGAAGAAATGGTTAATCACATTGGATCTATAGATTGGGATCTCACGAACTAAGGATACGTGAATCAGAGAACACACTGTACCATACAGGTAGCAGCACAATACCAACTTTACACAGAGCTTCCGAGACATGGTTGCCATGTACAGCAGTGGGTTACAGATTGCCACAAAGCGGTCATAGGCCATCACCGCCAGCAGGAAGACCTCAATGACTACAAAAGTGCAAAACAAGTAGAATTGCACCATGCACCCCAGGAAGGAGATGGCTTTGTCCCTGTTGAAAATATTAGTTAATATCTTTGGCACAATGATTGAAGAGTAGCAGAAATCCACAAAGGACAAGTGGCTGAGGATAAAGTACATGGAACTGTGAAGCTGAGAACTGACCTGAATCAGTGCAATCATACCCAGGTTGGCCAACAATGTGACTCCATAGATGAGAAGGAACATCAAGAAGAGGAAGACTTTCAGCTCAGAGACATCAGATAATCCAAGGAGAATGAACTCTGTCACCATGGTACAGTTTTCCTTGTCCATGTTTCCACTTTATATGGGGTTAGAGAAAAAAATGTTATTCTCCATTATATGATTTAAAATTTATTTTTGGCTCTCTCCTATAAAACATCACAGGAAGTAAGGTAGTTAATTTTATCAGCAAGGAATAGAAATTTTGTCTGAAATTTAGGAAAAGTCAAATATTGTATAAAAAATGCATAAAACTCAGTTTAATTCAGAGATCCAACAAAAACACTAGCATTTTATGAAATTATGTGATTCTTTTAATTGATGTTTCACAATTGAAAGCTTGTCACTGAATCATTAGAAAAGAAGTGCCGGGAGTGGTGGCTCAAGTCTATAATCCAAGCACTTTGGGATGCAGAAGCGAGAGGATTACCTGAGCTCAGGGGTGCAAGACCAAACTGAGCAACATGGCAAAACCTCATCTCTACAATAAATCAAAAAATAAACTGGGTGTGGTAGTGTGCCTTTAGTTCCAGTTACTTGGAAGGCTGAGGTGGAAGGATCGCCTGGGCCCAGCTGGCTGAGGCTATGGTGACTGTGATTGTGCCACTGCACTCCAGCCTGGGTGAAAGATTTAGACTCCAACTCAAAAGAAAAAGAAAAAGAAAAGAAGTGAAATAATTATTTAACTGACTATGTTGATATATGAATTTAAAATACGTTTTTTCCTGACAAACTCTGAATATTTAGATGTTAGGAAATACTTTTTAAAATATATAGTATCCTTCTCTGAGTTTTCCACTCAGACATTAAAATTTTAAACTGCAAAAGTTCATATTTTGTTGATATATTTTAAAAGGAGAAAGTCAATTTTATACACTATATTAACATTTTCTCCATAAAATTTGCATAGAAGTTTTGTTAATTACACTCTTCAGTATCAGCCATGGAGCAGGGAATTGGTACTCTTGAGCAGAACTTTACTGTAATTATGAGTCCTCAGGCTTAAAAAATATTTATTTGGTAAGTGAATTTACTGCTTTGAATCTATTTGAAAAACTGATCAAAGATGTGCTCAGGAAATCATTAAGAAAAATGCAAGGAAGGAAGAAAGATAGTGATGGTGCCAGTTGGACTATGCAAGTCTCAGTGTGAATGAGTGAGTATATGGACAATTTTGCATATGTGTTTGTGAGTAAGTGTGCTTGTGCGTGACTGACTGAGTGGGAACTCAGGAGAAAGTGGCCGAGGTCCTCCTGGTGAAGTGGCTGGTGTTGCAGCTGCTGTGCTTGGACCTCAGTGCTTTCCTGGGTTGCAGAAGCTGAGCACCATTTTTTTAATTTGGCAAAGCCCTTCCTGGGAAGAAGATACCTGGAGTGATTGCCAGCTCTGGGCTTTGCCACACTACTGCAGCATCTGGACAGACAGTGGAAGCAAGGTCTGCAAAGGGAGCACAGCTAGGGAGACAGAGGCAGGGCTCCACTTGAGAAGATGGAAATAGACACCCTGCCACCCTCTTGCAAACTGAGCAGGAAAGTACTCCAGTTTGCTCACCACAGAGTGGCAGACCTAATCTCTATGACTGGTGGATTAACTATTCAGATGTTGATAATGACCCAGAAAGAATATCCTGAAGCACAAACCTCAGAGGAACAGGACGAGTGTGGAATCTCAGGTGCCCCACTCCTTACCCTGATTCAGTTGTGGCACAAGGGGTGTGACCAGATAAGAACAAGAAAGACACCTGATGAGATCAGCATGAGTCTGGGGTTGACTCAGACCCCTCCTTCCCCAAATCCTCTGAACAATAGACCCACATGGCTGGGTCACTACAGAGGGGAATGAACACAGGTCTAGACTGTACATCAACCATGATAGTACTCTACTGCAGGATAAGCCTGGATGGGGTGCCCCCCCAACCAATACTGGGGAAGAGACAATCCTGAACTTCCCAACTGGAAGGGATCTCCCTGATCATACCAGTGTGGGAGGGGAACACCAAAACCCCATCTACCCCCACTAACCCCAGGCTGGACACTGGGCAGATTGTGAATGAGGCTGCCACTCCATAGGAGATAGCAGAGGGGCTTACCAGTGAGCAGCTGAGATGAAAAATTACAGAACGTGCTGCAAGAGTGCAGGTTGTTTTTCATTTTTTTTCTGTTTGTTTTATAATATTTTTCTCTTTCTTCTGTACATAAATGTGTATGTAAGGGTTCAATCTGCATTCCCTCCCACCTTTTGTTTTACTTACTTTTCTTTCTTTTTTGCCTATCTTCTTTCATTTTTTGTTTTCTGTTTGTGAGTGTACATGAATGATTGAGAGTTTATCTTTCAGATATTTTTTGCTTGTCTCTCTTTTATTTTAATGTATGTGTAAATATATGTGTGAGTGTTCACATTAAATTCCTTTTTTTCTCTCTTCTTTTTTTTCTCCTTTCATTTTGTGTTGGGTGTGTGCATGTGGGTTTGGTTTTCCTGTTTTTTGTTTTTCTGTTTTACTTTTTTTTCTAGTTTGTTTTCAGGTGTGTGTATGTGTTTAATTGTTTTTTTTTCTTTGATTTCTGCTTTTGATTTTCTGTGTTTTTAAAATTATTTTTATTTTTGTCTGTCTTATTTCATTCTACTTTTCTCTGTTCCCTTCATTGTTGTTACTGTATCTTGGACTCAGGCGATACCTACACATACCCATTGCAACATCATATAGAGTGGTGGTGGGGAGTGGGTCTCAGGGAGTCCATACTACAATCAGTGAACATCATGATTTGCAAGTAATTTCTGAATCTTAGCTCCCCATCCTCCACCTTATGTGACTCTCAAGACTACAAGCGACAGAAAAATTTCCCACCCACAACCCTGTTTCAAAATAGAGCAAATTCAGAGTCCTGGTCAGTGAAAAATAGAGTACTGAGCAAACATCAGGAATGAAAGCCTTTCCCACTGCCACTGAAAAACAGAACTAAAGAGAAAAAAGAGATCTGCCCCAAATCATGAAAAATAAATGAAATCATGCAGGTAATTCCCAGTATATGAAAGAGGGGAAAAAAACCTGTAAATTAAAACCTCAAAGCCCAAACAATAGAAGTCACCAACAACTGGCTCCAAAATACAAGAGGGATTAAGGAATGGTTGAAAAGAGTGAATAAGACACAAGAAAGACAAGATGAAACACTGAATGAACTTGCAACAGAGATTTTGGCCATAATAAAAAATTTCTTCCAGGAAATAAATAACAAAATGACAAGCATGGAAAGCAGAATTAATTAATAGAAAGAATTTCGGAACTTGAAGTCCAAAACATAGAATTAACTTGATCTGCTTAAAAAAAACATAGAAAGACAATTCAGAAAGAAAGAACAAAGTTACCAAGAGATGTGCGATTATATCAAGAGGCCAAACCTATGCCTGATTGGTACCCCAGAAGAAGAGATGGAAATGAGGAACACCTTGGAGAACTACTCCAGGAAGGTGCCCAAGTAAACTTTCCCCATCTCACCAGTGATGTGACCATCCAAACACAAGAGAAACAGAGAACCCCAGCAGGACATCAAATGAGAAGACTAAGTTCTAGACACATAATAATTTGCCTATACAAAGTAGATGCAAAATTTAAAACTCCTAAAGACAACAAGAGAAAAAGGTCAGACTACCTACTGAAGAAGACCAATCAGAATAGTGGCAAACCTATCAGCAGAAACACTACAAGCTAGAAGGGACTGGAATCTGATTTTCAAAATCCTCAAAGTTAAACAATTTCAGCCAAGAAATTCCCACCCAGACAAGCTTAGCTTCATCAGTGATGGAGAATTTAAATCCTTCCCAGGCAGCCAAACCCTATGGCATTATGCAGCTTCCAGACCAGCTCTACTGGAGATACTTAGAAAGGTATTAAACACAGAAGAAAGAAAAAAAAGATGACCATGCACCTCTCAAGAGAACAGGAGAACACAAAATCAATAAAGAATACACTGTAATCACAAACTTGAAAGCACACATTTACATCAACCCAAAAGTTACAAGAAAACAAATAAAGAAAATACTTTATAAGAACCTCATCATGGGGATAAACAGTCACATTTCAATAATCAACTTGAACAAGAATGAACTAAATGTACCACTGAAAAGACACAAAATGACAAACTGCATAAAAAATAGTCCAATAATTTCCTGCATACAGGAAACCCATCTCACCACGAGGGGTGCGCACAGACTCAAAGTTAGAGGATGGAAAATGAATTTCCACGTGAATGGATTACAAAAGAAAGCAGGAGTCACAATCTTAATATCAGACAAAGCAATCTTTAAGCTATCAAAAATTTTAAAAGATATGGAAGGACACTACATAATAATAAAATATGCAATCCATCCACAAAAAATATCCACCCTAAATATATATGCACCCAACAGAGGAGCACCAGAATTCATAAAGCAACTACTAAATAAACTATATAAAACATTGACTAACACTATCATAGCTGCAGACCTAAATACTCTACTAACAAGCCTAGATAGACAGACCGTGAGACAAAAAATAAAAAAAAAAGATCCAGAATCTCAACTTGATGCTTGACCAAATGAACTTAACAGATACCTGCAGAACACTCCACCCAACAACCACAGACTATAAATTCTACTCATCACCACATAGAATGTACTCCAAGATTGACCATATCCTTGACCATAAATCAAGCATAAACAAATTTTATAAGATTGAAATACTTCCACGCACCTTCTCAGACCACAATGGAATAAAAATAAATACCAACACCAATAAAATTTCCCCTAAACCCACGAAGACATGGACACTAAATATCATGATGTTGAATGACTACTGGGTCGACCCAGAAATCAAAACAGAAATTAAAGTTCTAAGAGGGGAATTTATATCTCTATGAATACACATCAAGAATATGAAAAGATCACTAACTAACAGTCAAAAAAATCACCAAAGAGAGTTGAAAAGACAAGACCACCAAAAGCCTAACTTTAGCAGAAGAATCTAAATCACAAGGTAAAAGCCAAAATACAAGACATAGAAGACAAAAATATCATAGAAAAATCAACAAACAAAAAGT